CATCAAATAAACTATCCAATTAGGAAAGTGAGGGTAGATTTTGCGATCACTTCTATAGTAACAACTTGAAAAACCGTCTTTCGGCTTCGAATATCTTCCGCCCGCAACTTCAAATAGAACGGTAGGCACAACGGCAGAGATCTATTGATATATTCTTCGAAGCCTGCATTATCTTGTTATATTTATTTATTCATTTCTTTTGAAAGTAATAATTTTTGGTTTGGCTGCCCGTCTTGCTGTTACAGATGCAAATTGCGCTAACGTTCTCATTCTTGGCCGTACCACGTATTATAAGCGAAGGAAAGACAGATTTCGAGGAATCGGTTCTTTCATAATTGTTCAGTTTACTTGCATTTCTAGTGAAATTGTTTGGTGGAGTGGTTCAATGGTTCATCCCACCAGGAGCCGACGGTCAACTCCTCTTTACTTTGGTGGAATATTCTTGTTGACGTCGTTTCCGAGGCAATCTCCTTCGATTCCGGTGAAGACGCGCTTAGTTTTTGTCTGTCGTATGACATACATCCATCCTATGACGGGCATCACCAGAGCAGGATCTCATCCTTACAACCATATTCAAGTTAACGATTCAAGAAAATTATTTACAGACAGACACACTCATATGCTTCGAGGTTTACGTATGATTTAAATTAACCAAATAACTATAAACCATCATCAAAAAGGTTAGATTCATAGTATATATATATATATGTGTATATATATACAGCATTTATAGGTAAGCCGGTGAGTATTTTTTTTCGTGTTTGAGTAGAGTTTCGAGACTACCAGTAAATCATTAATATGAAATGTATTCACCCAATTTTGTTTAAGGTGATGAAGGACTGGTAGTCGAATTTACCCACAATGATATGAGTAGAGCTGACGTTTCCATTGAATTTCACATACACTCTGAATCTAACATTTTTGATGATGGTTTATAGTGATTTGGTTAATTCAAATGGTATGTCAACTTCTAAGCATATGAGTGTGTCTTTCTGCCAGGAGTTTTCTTGAATCGTCAACTTGAATATGGTTGTAAGGATGAGATCCTGCTCTGGTGATGGATAAAAGGTTAGCACATTTTCGCCGAAATCGAAGGAGATTGCCTCGGAAACAGCGTCAACAAGAATGATTCAGTATGGCTAGTCAACAGCTAGTCAAAAGGAATCCGCCGTTGCCTTGTGATGAGATCAAACTTCGAATCTCTTTAATGAACACTTTAACTCGAAATGGGAATAAGCTTAACTACTTCATCTGGGATGGTCATGGGACTTGCAAAAGTTCGGATAAATTATAGCATCCTATTTAGATCGCAGATGGTGTATCCTTCTGTTTGGTTGCAGTCACCTTTTGCTTTACAGTGTTGGTTTGACCTCGTTTTCGCAACTTGATCAGAGCATCAGCTGAACCTTGTGGAACGTGCCTAGTCCTGTGTCTTCGGCCATAGTGCTTGAACTTTCAGACATTGGACCATTGAGTTGGTACATTTCCAGACGCTTCGCCGGCATCGTCAGTGAGAGGTGCTATCGTAAAAACAGAGTTACAACTTATCAAAAAATAGGGACGAGGAGTGATGCTACAGCGCTTGAACTTAAAGTGGGTCAAGGGGATTGGCCTCATTCGTCACTTTGATAAGTTGTAACTCTGTGTCTACAACAGCGCCTCTCATTGACGATGCCGGAGAAAAGTTTGGGAATGTACCCAGCCAATGGTCCAATGATGGAGATCGCGAATACCATGGCAGAGGACACAGGACTATGTACGTTCCACACGGTCTCCCTGACGCTCCGACCAAGTTGCGAAAACAAGGTTGAGTTAATACTATAGCACTTAGTCACTTGGTCTCTTCGTCAAATTATTTCAGTCACGCCTGTTGCAAGATATCTTCCAAAACTTGCCGTCCCATCTATCGAAAGTCTGGTGGTCGTTGGATGCCATCCCGAGTCACCGACCGGGACGATCCAGGTTACATTTTGTCCATATAATTGCTTTAAACTTTGATACAAATTTGTAAGTCTTAACGTCTTTGGCGAATTTCATCAAGGTTATTTGTATATTAATATAAGTTACGCCTGAAAGGAGTCAGACTTTGAGGGGGGGAATGCCAACTCGGATAGAAAAATTGCCAAATGACATGCATATATTACCATTATTTTGGTACAGGATATTGGGTGCTATCCTGTAAAAGTATCTAGCCCGCTTAAAATTAGATCATACAAAAAGATGGATAGTTACTTTGGGTCGTTTTGTGGGAAATATAATCATAAAGAAGAGATACCTCCTTTTTATGGCGGCATTCTTCTGGAGACTCATGTCAATTATTCACTGGAAGTCACTTTGCCCTGGCCATTTTTGTCACTAGAGAGAATTTCTCGTCCAAGTTTTACACTTTTAAGCAACTCTTTGAAGCTGCCACAAAACCACTTTCTGCTGCTTTTCCATTTCCCCCCCCTTCCCTGCCTTGCGCAGGATTGGGGCATCATTCGCCCTCAATTGTGCTAGTGCACATGCTTGCCTCTTCGTAGTCCCCCACAATCCGGTACAGGTTGACTGAGTCCATTCCACTTTCTGCCAAGCCACCCCAGCTTTAGTGTCGCCGTGCCATTCCCTTCCCAGCATCCCAGCATTCCTGATCTCGACCCTTCCAGGTCATCGTGCCCAGAATGGCTCGGTGAGAAAGCTGTAGTCGCTACCTTTCCATGCAGAATTGACCCTTCCCCGTGGCACAGTTGCTCTACAGCCTGCCAAACTTGTGTATCTGTCCATTGTGTGGTACTTCTCGTTGAAAAATTTCACATTTTCACGTCTAATCGTGGATAAAATAAACAGACCATCAAGCGATTGCAGGTCTCAGCATTTATTTACTGTTCATCTTGACATTTCTGCTGCAATTAAAATACACCCCCCTCTTGACTACAATTGAACTGGGGAATTGGGACTGTGGCCAGAAGTGGGCACGCCTGCCTATAGCCATGGGTCGTCCTAATATAATGCACTGTAGATCCGATGATAAGCCGACCTTTCCAAGAGAAACGGAAATTGCTTGGCTTATGTCCCGATAGAGCTGCAAAGTTTAATGGTGGAGGCAAGCCGTGGTCGCGTGGTGTTGCGGGAACCGATAATTCTCTTGCCCAAAATGACTATTCCCATACCGTCCAACAGGTGTGTATACTCTCGGCTTCGGCCCAGCCGTGGCCAGGTCCCACACACCCAAAGTGAGAGTACCGTCCAAAATATGCTGATCAGTGGAGGCTACTTGGTTCCAAAACCAAAAGAATCTAGCGAAACTCAACCGTATGGCATTTAACTCATCGTTTTTTTCCAGTGGGAATATGAAAATTGTGGACATGTATTTAGCAATCGCACGCGGCAGCATCACCTATTTTCGGTGTCGCTTGGTTACTAAAGGTCACCTTAGATTACGGAAAAAACGATAGAAGAATGTTTCCATGATGACATTAGCAGGCTTCACAATAAGTGATGATGAAGAATGTAGTGATTATTTCGAATAATACTTGCACAAAACATATCATTTTCTCCTATATTCATACAAGGGGTGCTATACACCCTGTGAAGCTTGGAGTGATGAAGGACTAAGAAATAAATTTTCCCACAACCATATAAGTAGGCCTCACGTTTCCACTTAATCTTTCCTAACCTGTCTTTTCAAGGAGTAATCACATCCCGGCTGGACTGGACTGCAGTTTCGACCTCTTCTTGCTCTCTTCAATACCCCAACCGGGACTCGAACCCAGATAATTCAGTGTACATTTTTAACATTTCATCATAACGTCCTACTGCTACTGGCGCCAGCAGCTCACAGGACAGGCATGGATATCAAGAAAGTCTAGGCTTCCAGCATATCTCATCCACAATGGGATTATTGTTGAGAAATATTTGTATTTGCCATTACATTAGACTGCATTACTTATATTAATAGAAAGTAGGCTTCAAGACTATCAATAAATCTTAAATCTGAGTTTTAACCACCCTAAGTCGCAATATGAAAAAATGCAAATATCACTCTTTCATTAATTCATGTTGTCTAGGCTGATTAATACTTTTATGCAAGTAGTACTACTAGTCTCAGAATCAATTCCCTCTGAATTAAGTCAGATATTGACTCTGGAAGCTGGTGCTAAGCCTGGCCCTTGTAACTTCAAACTGTGCTGCCAAAGCAGCATGTATCCTCTTTATTCATTCTATTGCTGGCCTGAATGTTGGATGTAGATATGCAAAATATCAACAACAAAGCAAATTATTTTATTTTTACATTACTCACATTCATATAAAGTAGATTTCGAGGCTATTAGCAAACTTTGAATATGAGTTTCTGCCAACCTAGACCGCATGTATTGCTGATGGCCCGATTTTGCCCACAATGACTTAAGTTGTCCTCACAATTTTATTAAACTTCGCTCGACCGTTTTTACCCAGTTGATCTAAATAATTCTGTTTTTCCCAATCTCTACTTTACAAGTGCTTCCATTAATATTCTGCTTACCACTTCTTTCCTATTGGTCGTCATATTTTGGCCTAGCGTTAAAACTTAGTCGGAGCAATATGGCGACCTTGTGGACCGTACCTGGTTGGAATGTACCTAATCGACTGTCCAATACTGGACCTAGGACTAGGTACGTTCCATAAGGTCTTCCTGCTGCTTCAACCAAGTTACTAAAACAGAGTCAAATCAACACCTTAACTACTATAGCCGAGGATCTCGGACAATGTGCATTTATTTAGACCACCCTGAAAACACGATCAAAGTGCGAAACCGGGGTCAAGTCACTTGTATATACAACGATATGCAAATGAAACCAAAATAGTGGAAACTTCATCTCGGTATTCATATTGACAGGGATACTATCCTATAATACGTTCTTTACTAGTATTTATATGTCTTATTCCAGTCTCGAACACTTGATATGATTTACTTCCAGACATTTCGCTGGCACTTTAGTTGGCCTCGCCAGTGGAATTTAAGACTAGAAAAATACATGACAAAATTGGCAGAAAATGTACTATGGCCTACAGCCATTTAAGTCTCCCTCCATGCACGAATACGTCGCAAATAACGAAGCAAAGCCATTGCCTATGCTCTCGTTAGGGCATGGGACTCATATCCAACATGTCAGAGACCAGTGAATGTATTACCGTTGATGATAGTTGTCATCTAAATTGAGAATACCATG